CCTCAACACCCCATCCCAAAAAAAATTAACAAAATTTTAAATTTTTTCCAATAATTTCTTTTTTAAAAAAAAATTAAAAATTTGCCAACCCACTCCCTACTAGCCCCTACCCCCTATCCCAAAAAAAAAATGTAAAAAGAAGTTTCATTTTTTTTATAGATTTTTTTTTTAAAAAAAAAAAAGACTTTCTTACTATCCCACTCTTTATCACTTTTTTTTTGTTTGTATGAATGCATATTTTTTACTTATTTTATCCATTTAATTATCCACTTTTAAATGGGTAATATAGGTATTACTCGTTTTTACCCATTTAAAAAGAATAAATATGAGCGAATACCCATATTAATTACCCATTCTGCCACCCGTAATCACAATGAAGAATGGCAATTAAGCCAAATGATAATAAAGATTGCAACTGACAAAAAGAAGTAAGGCACCAAAATGTGTAATTAGGCAGTTCTCGGAAACTGATGGATTTTTTGAATAATGATGGATCAGTAGAATAAACTTGGCCAGTTTACACATTAAGTGTCTATGGCAAGCCCCCTAGACCTCACTTGTCGGATCACACTGGGTATATTATTGTTGTGTCGATGGCGATCACAATTTATATCATTCAATTTGGAACAGAATAAGGACACCTATGTATGGACCTCTGCAAACTGGCAAGGCTAAACCTATCAATCTGCAATTTGGCCATTTTGGGATCAGCCCTTGGCCCAATGATACTGGTGCAGTTATGAGGATCTTATTGATGATGGATCCAAACGAATTCTGGATGAGGTATGTCAAATTTGATATCATACATTTTGGTTTTTTAACTGAATATTTTAAACCTTTTAGTCTACCATTTAAACCATTATACTTTCCGTGCTCGCTCTCAATGATCATTATACTACATAATTCAGTTTTGCTTAATGCACACATGAGTTGGAATTACAGGGGCGGATTGAGCAAGGCTCATCGGGTGTCACGTGACACTGCTTCATAATTTTGTTTTCTAACTAAACTTGTGGCACTAATGCACAGAGATGGAACTTGGAAGGCCCAGTAGATGAGGAGTGTGATGGTCTTGCCATTCATGGGATGAACACAAGTATAAAAGAAATACTCCTCAATCACTTGTTAAGTTTCAGACGACTTCCATTTTGCCGTTTAAAATATTGCTTCCTGAGTTCAAACTTCACCACGGTGTAACATCAAAACTAAACTAACCCATTCCATAAAAGAATTCTAGTGCTTATTCCATTTAAATGGAAACATGTCACTGTCTAGTCTTTCCGTTTCAAAAAGAATGATATAGTATATATGATTTAGCATAAACTTTAACAAAATAAACAACACGTTTCAATTTTGTGGTACTAAATTAAAGTTATGTCAAATGTATCAAAATTTCCTTTAATCTTGAAATTAAAATGATGTTTAAAAAAGGAAAGGATCATCCATTTTTAAACAGACTAAAAATGAAAGTAAATATTATTTTTGAAACGGCCAGAATAATTTAATTTTTTTTTGGAGAATTGTCATATGTATCACATTATTATTATTATTATTATGCAGCAACAAGCAACTTGCACCTGATAGTACGTGTTTCTAATTTGGCCATCAATTCATGCGCTCAGAAAATAAATTAAGTTTGATCTTATTTGAGTAGCGTGATATTTCTTGATAAGGACCTCATGAATCTTATTTACACATGGACCACCAAACTTTTAAAAGGACCACTATAGTACTATTAATTACTGCAGCTCCCCTTCATTTTTCTAAAGTTGTTAACAATATGTGGACGTAAAATGTCAAAAGGACAATAAAAAGATATTATAATGTCTCTTTGATACCTTTTGCATCGACTACTTTGTTACGTTGTCGATTTTAATAAGAGTGACCCCCACCCCCACCCCCTCCAAATTGAACATACACGCAGAAAAAATCAAAGGAATAACTCATGAAATTATGAGAAAAAAAGAAAAGAAAGAAAGGTACGTTTGTTGTAGTGGTACATGGAATTATTATTAATTGAGACATATTAGTGGAGCTAGCACTTGGTTCTTTCAAGATTGTACGTTTTTTTTTCTGAAATTCCGTGGGAAAAAAAAAGAAGAGAAAAGATTGAATTGAACTTTGTGATCTGCATTCTGTCACGTGGCATAACAAGTGATCTCAAAATGTGATTTTAAAATTTTGTAGGAGTATGAGACTCTTGATAAAAAGTCGAGAAAAGTGTTAAAAACACCTCTAAACTTGACAGGAATTTAGGAGTGTATTTTACTCATGTTGTAAAATCGGGGTGTATTTAAATTTAGTTAGTCAAATAAAATGATAGTTTTAAGACTGTCAAATAGTTTAAAAATAAAATTAATACTACGCATTGAATTTAAGGATATTTTCGCTGAAAGAAAAAGAAAAAAAAAAGACATTTGGAAAGTGAAAGAGAAGGAAATTGCATCTAATTTTAGATATATAGTTGAGTGAGTTAATTGAAAAGTGAAGTGAAAGTGATATACCAATGGAGGAAAGCAAATTACTAATAAATACATATCTGGCAACAAGTGGAATGAAAAAGACAGATTAAGAATCTAAAAGAAAAGTCTGAGACATTGACATGAATCGAATTCATTTACTTTTTTCGCTGAAAAGTTAACCATCATGTATATTTTATAGTTTGAGTTTTCTTAATGAAAATCTTGATTCCGACAGTTTAAACAAGGATGACGCGATAATTTACTAGAAAAAGATACAAGTAGGATTTGCCTAATTATCAAATAAAGCTTAATTCTCAAAAGAGGTAGAAAGTCGTGGAATTGTGACATAAAAGTATATATCGGTGGACGGTGTAAAGAAGTTAAACTAGTAACGAGAGATTTTATTTACATAGAATAGATTGATGGTGTAATTTTGTTCACAATATTAATATATTTTGTACTTGTTTACCTATCTTATTATTTTGAATAAATCTGAGAGTGTAACTTGATTTATTTTTTTTACATGAACAATGTATAGAAGTTAAGCTGTTCAGGAAGATAATTGTCCGTATTTAGGTCTTTAATTTTAGCCAAAGATTCTAAAAATCCATAAAGCTCAGGTCAAATTAAGAATAATCACAATTAGGGTAATAGTAGCATTTTTGGAAATGTAGCTCATTGGGCTCTTCCCCTGCCAAATAAGTTTTTATGACGTTAAAGGCGAGTGATCTTGAATTTTTAACTTTAACAGACGAGTGATCTTGAATTTTTAACTTTTAATTTTGTTTATCCGCAAAATTTCAAGTTTAATTACCTTTGGCCTTAAAAATTTGCCCATGTAACAAACCAAAGTCAAAAGTTTAAGATTACTAATTTTCAACTTCCTTTCAAGGTCTCTTTCTTGAGAAGTTTTTTCAAAATAGATTTTTCGCGAATGATGATATTGCGAGCCTCATATTTATATTAAATCAATTAAATTATTTAATTATAGTGAGTCGCAATAATTTGATATAAACACCCCGTGCAAGTAAGTTTGTTATCGTGATCATCTTTTTACGACATGTAATATGTATCGACTGTCTATTAGGCTTGCAATATTTTCTTATTGAACTGAATTTTCATGTGCAAATATTTCCATGAGATGCATAACCATTATTGAACTGAATTGGAACAACTGTTGGCTAGTTTTGCTTGCAATATTTGCTTTAAAAATGTATAGCGACAGGTATAATATAATTATATAGTTCAATATAATTAGCCGGCCGATAAGAGAGAAATTTAGAATATGTTTGATAAAGATCTAAGATTTATATGTCAATGCACTCCTCAAAAGTAAAATAAATAAATATACATGTATGACTTATTTTCATCCTCAACAACAAAAAAAAAAAATCAATTGGAAGAATATTCCATGATACAAGCAATTGACACTACAAACATCAATAGTTTTTCACGTCAATAATGTACATTAACAAAGTCTTTATTGTCATTAGATTCACTGTCGCTTTAAATTTTAGAGACATTTACAAAAGGTGTTAAACACCTCTAGAAAAGCATATTTAGCGATAATTAAGCTATTACCATCAATTAATTGCTTCTAAAAGTTTGTTTCTCTTCTTCTTCTTCTTAAAAGACCAAGTAAGTTGGAAACGCAAAACTTAATTATGTGCTCGATCCTTTCAGTTTAAATAGTCAATATTCACTGTTTATTTTTAGCAGCACAATTACATATATTATACATTCGCCCGTATTTTTAGTTAAAGCAATTGGGTGGACGGCTACTTAGGTCAGTTCTTTAAATTTAAAAAAGAAATGCCAATAGCTTTTCTAACCAGCAAAAACTTTGGGTTATACTAACTTATAAGTAGTGTCCATCCAAATTCCAATAACGCCTTGAGCTCTTTTCCTCCTTATATAAAGACATGAATTTAATCAGATTAAGATATTAACATTTAACAATCACCTATCCTCATGGACGGATCCAATATATTTGAAAATTTATCAAATATTTAATTGTAAATCCAATTAATATTACAAACTAATTTAAGATTATCATAGAAATTCATAAACTTCAAATCTCGAATCTGCTCTGTTGATCTCCTTCATGAGTACCTGCTGAGAGAATAACCAAAGATATATGCACTTCTTTTTTTAAAATGATATTTAATTTGAAACTCATTATAATCAGTCTTATGCCTAATTATTATTATTTTATATTAAAAAAAAGGATAAAATTAAGAGAGTCTAAATTCAGTAGCTCTAACTTGAAAAAACAGATTAACAACAATGAAATTCAGCTACAAGAACATGAAAAAGTACAAAAAAAGAAAAGATTCATACGAATAAAGAACTAATTAGAAGTATATATACTTACAAGTTCCTGATCTAAGAAATAAATAAATCATTTCTTGATTCGTGCCGTTCTTGACAAGAATCATACTAATCTTTTCTGTATCGTTTTTTGTTGCAATAGTCATTTATTGCTGATGCAGCATCATCAAGATTCTCATGAATTTCAAATAGCTAGCCATTAATTTCATCAATTATATAACAAATTTGCAACTTTTCATGTGAATCTTGATTATGCTACATACGCAAACAACGACTGTAAGAAAACTATTTTTTTTATCTATATTTGTATATATTTTGTGATTATATATGCCACATATATATAGGAGGAGACTAAATGTGTGGCTCTATTCCTATGCTATGAGGGTATCAAACAATTAGAATCTACTTACTGCTGTTTTCGTAATTTTCAGAAAACAAAAACAAACTCTATTTAATTTGTTTAGAAAGAGAAATATTTTTCTCTGTCTCATATTAGTTGTCTATTTTCCTCTTACACACAAGAAATCATTTAAAAAAAAAGAAGGATAATTTTACTAATTTACCGAAACTTTTTTTCTAACTTTACAAACTTATTTACGCTTTTAAAAAAAATAATAATTAATCTTATCTTAATTTTATATATTGACAAGTAATTTGAGATAGCTATTTATAATAATGTAGACAATTAATATGAAACGGATGAATTAGAACGTATACATCTAAAAGTAATGAATAAGGTAAAAAAATATAGCCAGCATAAAATATATACACTTCCTTTGTTTCATAGTACTTGGTCTATGTTGAAGTAACACGCGTACCTCCTAAAAAAATAATTAGATGTGTATTTTATTAAATTAATATTATTAATGATATTAACTTTGAATATTATTATTTCATATAACTATTTAATATTAAAGATAATATTTAAAAAAAATCCTCTTAATTTATTGAAATAAACAAGTAAAATGAAACAGTATTTGATATGATATGAAAGGATCAAATGAAGACTACTAATTCCTTTTTCATGGTATTTGGACTAGACATTGTTTAATTCACAGATTACGACATCTCTTGACCCCATTCCCTTTTTACAACAATTAGCTACATAAATTATTAATAAAAACAATTAATCTATAAAATACATAATTGAAGTTGAAATAAAGAAAACATACTTCAATTTTCAATAATCAATAATTTAAGAAAAAGGAATATAAAGTTCAAGATGACGCAATGTCTGTTGAGTTTCTCTGTTTTTTTCTGAGGTTATGGCCTTTTGCACAAAACTTAAATTTACAGTTAATAAGAATAAATGATGTACATTCTTTTGATATACGGATTTTTTTTAAAAAAAAAAAGTAGGATAAACAATTAAAATGGAAAGGGTAGTTACCAAAAAATATACTATTTTAAAAATAGGATTTCATTGATAACTTTTTTTTCCGAATTATTTTTAAGACCTAATATTATACATCAATTAATAAAAATAATGTGATAAAGTAACTATATAAATTATTATTTTCTTAATATGAGTGTGTCAAATCTAAATATGATAAATAAAAATAAACAGAGAAAGTGATATGTAAATGTATTTGTATAAAAGTATCTCTTACTTACCTTGACAACTAATATATATTCTACCTCATTAAATTATTTACCTACATTAAATTGATAAAATTGAGTGTAGGTGTTTGTGCTAGTAAGTTTTTATCGTTTAAAATATCTTTATATTTTGGAGATTTATGTTATTTTTGCTTACTGTATTTTTTTTGTTGTTTGCTTTTTCCTCAATTTTTTATTTTTTTTATTATTTGAACTTACAATTTTAAAAGTAAAATTGAACCATACTTATTATTGGAGCAACTTCCTCGGGTGGATTTGCTCAGTGTTAGTTATCTTTAGAACAGCTTGGCCTAAATGGCGGCCCCATGTCCGTACAGTCTGAGCTTTCATTTCGTGGACCTCAGACCCCTTTCTTAAATTTATGGAAAAATTAATAAAAGAAAAAAAAACATCTACTCTTATAGGTCAAGCATTTGTCAAACTGAATATAAAGCCCACCCCTCTTTAACTAGCATGCATTGGCGACGTACGTCCAGACTCGAGAGTCTACCAAAAATAATATTTATGTTCTATAAAAAATAAAATAAATTTTGTATATTCTTTAACTTTTTAGATTCACCTATAAATTAGGGAAAATTGTATAAAATAATAAACTATTAGAGTAATTCAAATTAAATGTTATAACTATAGTTTCATTTTATTGTAGTCTGTAGCAAACACTTGTTATTCGCCTCTCTCACTTTATACAAACACAAATGTATAAATTGCGTTTGTATTTGTATAAAGCGAGAGAAAATTGTATATACAAATACAAATACATATATTTTCATTCTATACACTTATAATTATATAATTGCAGATCTTCCCCTACCAGTTGTCTTTTTTCTTTCTTTCTTTCTCGTTTTATACAAATTACAATTTATAATTTGTGTTGTATAAAGCGAGAGAAAGAGAGATTTGATATACAAATGTTTTATTTCGATTCAATTGTATACAAATTCAAATTTTATGCTGATATACAAGCACAATCATTGATACATATACATAGTAGTTATATATATACAATTATCTAACCGATATACACATACAATCGTTGCGCTTTTATACAAACGAATGTCTGTCTGCGATTTATACAAATCTGATGCTCCATAGCAAACATAAAATTTGTTATGGAGCGCAATTATGTAAACTATAGTTATAACATACAAATATGATTTTTATGTTTGCTAAACCTAAAATTTACTATATAAAATATTATTGTTCTTGTTGCATTGTCAATGTATAAAATTTGTATATTATTTTAAAGATGGATCTTGGGCCTAACTCAACCTCAAAAGCTAGCTTATGAAGGGAGAATTGTCCAAGTCAATATAATAAGACCAAATTCTCACCCCTTTTCGGATGTGGAAATTCTTAACAATTATTAATAAATTTTAGTTTATACTATTAGAGCATATTTGTTTGTCGTATTTGTTAAAAATAAAATAAAATTTGATGGCCGGTGCGAATAAAATATCGACACGATAAAGTGAATATTTGTAGTAGTTGGTAAGAAAAAGGAGTTCACCATTGATTTGGCGGAAATAATTTGGTGAGGGCCAAAGATAAAGTAGTCTCTATCAATATGATTTAGTAGGGAATAGAGTTCACGTGGGATGCACGTGAAGAACATTAGGTTCTATGGCCCAAACCCTAATTTTTGCATTGGAATAATATCATACACACATCCCCATTGGGACAGTGTGGGTAACGAGTACTTGCAACGTAAGTATATATACACCATAACTTATAAGTTTTGATTTATTATTTTCCTTTTTCCACAACATACAATCACGTGCTATTTCATAATGATTTTTATCAGATGAAATGAAAAGGGATAAGGGTCTGAAAAATATCCAATTTTGGTCGAATTTGTTATTGCGATACTAAACTTTCATGAGGACCTATTACCCTCCCTAGACTATTTAATACCGTATTTTTACCCCCTGAACTATTTTAATAGTGTATTTTAAAGGTATATATGTGCCCCACGTGGACACATTACTATTTATAATTTTTGCATTATTTTTTATGTCCACGTGGGCAAATATATATGTTTAAAATACGGTATTAAATAGTCTAGGGAGGTAATAGGTCCTTATGAAAAGTTTAGTATCGCAACAGTAAATTCGACCAAAGTTGGAATATTTTTCAGACCCTTATTGAATTCATGTAGAAAGGAAAGTGATTTTCAATTTCTTAATCGGAAATATATGTGGTGATCATGAAAGAAAGATTAAGTAAAATGGAAATAATTGGATGGTAGATTCTATTATTATTACATATTTTAGACCTTAGTGTTGGGTTAAGAAAGTGATTAGGGTATCGTGCGGAAGCTTATAATTGCAAATCATAAGATGATAAATTAGACGACACATAAAACTATACTAAAAGACATAATATTATTATATGATATGACCAATTGGTCTACATAATTAAAAAACTAATAAAAAACATAAAAATTGTAGAGAGAAAATCTCTCCATAAATAAAACTCTCTAAAAAACGGTATTGTGAATTCTATTGTGTTATGTTATGAGAATAGGGATCTTTAATTTATAGATCTCCAAATTTTTCCTCTAAGAAAAGAATAAACCAAATATGGAAGAAAATTATATTTTCCTTTCAGAAAAAGTTCAAGCATTTATGGTAATACTTTGACTTTTCTTTAAGGAAAAAAATAAACTTCAAATAAGAAAAGAAAATCATAGCAAAATCCTAACATTTAGCTCAATGAAAAATATATTTTACCATTGAAATATGAAAGAACTAAAATTTTAGATCAGACATGCGATTTTATGTATGAATGACTAGTAATTATTGTGAGGTCCAGTTCCTGACTCGAGGGGACACCAAAGATATTTGCCCTTTCATCCCTTTGAGAGATAAAAAAGGAGGCCAGAGCTTTTGATTTTTATTTTTTTTAATGTTATGAAAGATTTGAATAATAAAAATAAATTATTTGTGTCAAATCAAATTAATCGAGTTATATAAAAATGAGGTTAAAATCTACTGATACGTACATTAGAATTTAGAACACCTCGACTACATACATTATTGCACATCCATTTAACACTTATCAGAATAATAAATAGTGTGATCACCTCTTAAATTATCATAAAAACTTATCTCACTCCATCCTCTTATATTAGGGGGAAATAAAAGGAAAAAACTAATTAATATTTTCAATTGTACGTAGTAGGTGCGCTGCGGAAAAGGATTATTTTAAAGTTGTCGGCTGGAGAAGAAGTTGGAGAATGGAGTCGGCCAAGCCACGTGAATAGAGGGAACCGAGCGCCGACGTCCATTTTGTCGCTAGTCAGCCAGGCGATATATAGCAAACTACCAAGATTTAGGATGTGTTTGGTACGAAGGAAATTTTTTCCAATTTTCTCATTTTTGATTGGATTAAATGTTTTCCAAATTAACTCCTTTTCCTCAAATTTAAGGAAAATGACTTCCCTTCAAAACTTAAGGAAAACATTTTCCAAAACTCTCTTCCAACTTCAAATTACAATTATTTTTTTGTTGAAAAAATCAATTTATTTTGTTCCTACCCTCAAATCAACCCCCCAAAATAAATAAATTAAAGCTTGTTTTTAAATTCAATATTTTTACCCCACCCTCACCCTAACCCTCCACCCCATCCAAAAAAATATTG